AATCTGCATACACATTCAGGAAGCCTTTATCTTGTAAGAGTAGGCTTTTACAGTGGCAGGTATGAAATTTGTGCATGTAAAACGTGAAGTCTTTCCTTTGATGCCTTCCCCTTGAGAAGCAATGCCATTAAGCTGCTCCAGGTGAGCCTAAGTAGTGTTGGGTGCCATCTGGCTGGGTGTGAATTTTAGTCTACAGCACATTTGCTATAAATATTGGTTCAGGCACCTGTTGGGAAGACATAGAAATGATCTGAGAAAGATCTTTTCCCACAAAACAAAGTTTGAAGGGTATAAATGAGAGTTCACTGGTCTTTTTGTTTCCTAATAATATAATTAAATATTAAAACCACTGCTCAGTGTGCTCACTTTTTCTTTGGAACAGCAATTTGCATTTCCAGGCTTTAGTAAAGAGTAAGCTAATAGACAATGGAAAGAGACCGGAAAAAATAAGCATTTTAGGCCCTTGAATTTAGCAAATTGATTACCAGAGAATGTAACAGCAGAAGTAGTGGAAGTGTCATTAACCAGTTCCATTGAGGTTGGACTTGTGTTTCCTGCCTTGACACGAGATGCTGTAAGCTGAGCATGGTGAATGTTGTGAGCTGCTCTGATCGGCCGCTGAAGCAGGCTGTGAGTCCTCGCAGCCTGAGGAGCGCTGCAGTTGTTTTCAACAGCAGGCTGTTAATCATTATGTACTCTTATCAGGTTTGAGTTTGGGAACCTGTAATTCATCAAACTGGTTTTATCTTCAGCTTTGTCTACCAGCTGGTCAGTCATCCCAACTGTCACACAGAAAACACAAGGTGGTTGGCTTGGCGTTTCTCAGCAACCTCCAGTCTCATTCTACAGATGCAAGCTGTTGTGCCTGAGCTGCTAAATGTCTTTTAAATGGATGAAGGATGAACTTATATGTATATCTGTGTACTTGGAGGAGAGAAATGACAGTTTACTGACCTCTGTGAAAATCTGTTTACTTAGTCAATCTTAGTATTAATAAAATTCAAGAAAATAGTTGGAAAAAACTGCTCACAGTTTTTCTGTAGGCTTTTTACTGCTGTACTTTTTCTGTGCTAAGTTACCCTCACCAGTACGGTCAACAGAAAACCAGAAGCCCACAAGATGTAATGCAGAATTATGGTTGATAGATGAACAGAAACTGCAAGTATGGTTCTTCCTTCATGACATCTTCTATACTCCATCAGCGGGAAAATGCCAGGCTGGTCTGCCAGGCTGCATTACATCTGTGCTACGTTTTGGAGAACTACAGCTGGAGTGTTGTGGATGGTTTTGATACTCAGTGTTAAAGAAGAGAGCTGATTAGCTTGTGAAGATTTTGAAGGATTGCTACAGTGAATAAAGGGCAGAGAAGGAAAAGCTCACTGGAAAACAGGGGGTTGTCTAGCAGACAAGGTTTGAAGTGATATTTGGGGTTGTGGTAAAAGAAGAAACAAAGTGTGAAGCATTATTCTGCAGTGAAGGAGAGAAAGTGTTGGCATACAGCTGAACTGTAAGCAGCAGGTAGACCTATGTGAAATGTTGCACAGGGATTACTCAACATCAGGATCAGAGGTAGTAATGAGGATTTGAGACATCTGCAGAAAGAAGCTGATGTTATTCCAGCAATCCATCACAGTTTCTCATTACACTTGTTGGAAACCTGTTCCCATCACTCTGAAATGAACCAGGTCTTTTCCAACCAGTGTCACTTTAGCAGGAGTTCACAATTACATTCATAAATTGTATTCCATCTTTGCTTGGCAGAACTCCTCTGGGTTGTCTGGCTTCTGCAAGCCTAAAATAATTAATTGGTTTCTTGCTTCCAAGTCTTCAGTCATGCTGAAATTCAGTTGATTTGTGATACCACTGGATACCGAAGTGCGAATCCATCTGCTCACCATGCAGAGAAGAAACAGAAGAAAGTACTAAGGTAAAAACTTAGCAGCTGAAGGGGATTGGCAGCTGAAGCCTTCTTGGTGGTATTTCTTCTCAGGTTCATTTTTCCACGTGCATGAGTCCTTTTTAACATCCTTTTTTTGTAAGATTTTCAGCGCTGAAGAGAAGATAAACTGGAGGAGCAAACGAAGTAAAAATCTGGCACTTCAAAAGAAGAACGCTCCCCAAAAAAGCCCACAAAAGAACTCGTGATTCTATACAAGTAATTGAATGTACAAGATTTGTTTAACAGTATAAATTGTTGTTGGCCATATTGGCTGGAAGCAGATGGTGATTGTCCCTCTGAAATCCGCTCCTGGATGTAGGTTTTGGAGACATTTCTTGGCAGCCAAGTTTGTTGTTTTTTTCATCTGAAAACGATTTGGTGAACTCCTCTCTCCTACTCATGCTACAGTAAGTTTATTGGATATTGTCACATCGCACCTTGCTATGAAATTCTTAGTCCTGTGGCGGTCTCCTATCACCCATGCAGTTTGCTTGTGAAAGAAACATTTGTGTAAAGCAATAAGGACACTTAAATCCAAGGACAAGGGGGAACAGATGCTTTAGTGCAGCCATTCCAGATTTCTTTCTGATTCGTATGGTTCCCAAATAGCTTGACATTGAATTGCTGATACATTTTTGTTTTACTTTCTATATGTTGCCAAAGGAGATGGGAAGAAGGCTATGTTTTACTGAACATCTCCCCTGAGAATGTACGACAGCAGCATTTAACAAGTTAAACTTATTTTTCTTCCAGCATCTGAGATGTAAATGTTGTAGGCTATCTGTGCAAAGGTCTAAGATAAAAGCACCTCTGAAGCACAATGTGATGCTTCTGCTCTGATATGCTGTTTTTAAAGTTATTGTCAAGGAGGATTTCAAGGGCATTTTCACTTCCATCCTTCATAAGCCTCTTTGCATCTAAGTTAACTGTAGAGAAAAACTTTAACGGAATCACAGATAACTCTATCATCCCTCATCCCTGCCTGGATGCCGACCTGTGCGACCTGCTGTAGGGAACCTGCTTTGGCAGGGGGTTGGACTCGATGATCTCTGGAGGTCCCTTCCAACCCCTACAATTCTGTGATTCTGTGTGATTCTGTCTTGCATTGCTTTGTCCATAGCTCCTACCTTTTAATGTGGTAGCATTTTAGGAATTCTCGTAATTTTTTTACTCATTACTCAATAACCAGTGTGTTCTGAACTCATGCCCTACCAGTGCAAATTAACCTTCTAAGTATAGGTGAGTCCTTTCCTTAGCCTCCTAAGTTGCATGAAATCCAGATATGAATGAGTCAATATGTTCTGCTACTTTCATTACTAAGTATGGTAGTTGTGCAGTTTAGTTTTCTATGTGGTAATTCTTTGCAAACGGTGTGGCTTTTTAGGAACGGACAAGGTGTGACCAACCTTATTAATGGCCTCCTGTTATTGCAGTAATAATAATGAATAGCAATTGTAGCTTATCTTCAACTGTTTTATAAATACAGAAAGTAAATGGAAGGTTTTGGCACTGATTGGTCCTGGATTTTACAGAACAGTGGCATCTACTTTAGTGGAGTAAGGAGTAGAAAGGCAGGTTTTAATTAAAATTCTCCCTGCTATTCCAGGGAAAGTTACGTCTCTAATAGTTTAGCATCCAGCACAGAAAAAGCTTGATGTGAAAACAAACCAGAAAGCAACGCTGCCTTAGGAATGCTGTGAAAGCTGAGGTTCACCTATATTACACAAGCAGAAGTTATATACCACTGTACAGTGTAATCAAGATTGATGGACATTTATGTGCCAGTATAACTGGAGGTAAGTTGAGAATACTTGTGTGTGCAGTGCATCTAGAGATTGGGAAAAGGCAACCTTGTAGCAAGCTTTTTATATATTGGAAAAATGCAATCTTAGAACCACTGAAAGGATTTATTCAACCAACTGTTGAAGTGAACTAAGCCAGCAGGATGTGTCTTTAATGATAGTTCATGTTTCAAGCTGAGAAAACTTGTGGAGCTCATTTGAAAACAAATTCATGCTCTAAGCCCCCAAAATTTAGCATGAGGCCCAACTTTTCTGTCCAGTAAATCTTTTCCACCTGGACTAGAATGCATGCAAAACTGACTTCTTTCTTACTCTTCTCCCTTTCCATTTTCAGTAAAAACAGACAAGCTTAGCTCCAACAAAGGAAGATGAGCAAGTGTAAACACCCCTAGGCACATTCTGGCAAGCGGGCTTTTTGATTTGAAAGATAATCAGATGGTAGGAGTTTGGGTAAAAGTGAAGTCCTGTAAATTAAGAAGATAATGATTTTTAAAAATAATTATGGGCTATAACTAGCATGCATTGACTGTAGAATGTTACCAGAATTTTGTCTTAATTGTTTGCTGATGTTGAAATTAGTAGAGGAAGACATTAATGGAGTTTCAAATGGTCAGCTTCAAGCTGGAATTCTTCCTTTATCTGTTGCACATATTAAAAGTGCTGCCTTTACTAACGAATGTGCATGTTAAACCCTCTGACCTCAATGCTACGGATGACTAGCCACAGTTTGAGACACTGGAAAATTACAGAGACAAAAGAAAGCTGAAGAAACTGCTGTTCTCATTCTCCGTGGCCTGAATTCTGCTGCATGCAAGGCCTTGTCATTTTTTAATATTTCCTGTAAAGACAGTCATTTCAGTACAAAGAGGAGCACCTTTATGCTGTATGTGGCAATATAGTGGGGAACAGTAACCTGTTGAGATCAGGTGGCACTAAGAAAATGAAATCATTTTATTCTTAAAAGAGGGTTGCCTAGGTTTGTGCACCCAAGCAATAGTGAGTATAACAGCATGTTCTGATTGTTTTTTTTCCCAAACTTACTGAGTATCCGTTACTGTCATTGCTTTCAGTGACAATTGATTCTCATGGCTGTATGCATTTTGAATTCCAAACTGAGATGTTTTGTTCTAGAACTTTGTCTGAGTTGCCCCAATCTTAATGCATTTTCATCGTTCCACTTGAGTCTTCCTTGCAGAAAACATTCCTGCAAAATAGGTGATCTATCCAGAATGAAAATTGAGATTATTTTTTCCCCATTTTCTGTCCTTGCAGTGGAAGATAGAGGCACCGAGCTTTTCATTTTTGCAAGTGTGCAGTAATGCCATTGCTTAGGGGCATGTTGTAGATAGCTGAGCACCTCCTTGTTCACCGCATTCCTACAGCAGGGAGACATTCACTCCAAGTGTAAGCTTTGGTCTGGCGTTTAAATATAGCACAGATATTCAGAAGGGTTCTTCTCTTCTCATGCCCTCCTACCCTCAAGCAATCCTCTTGGATGGTGTTACTTTCCAGATGTTCTGTGAGAAGCACAGAGAAATTGCTGAGGTTTGCACAATGGGAGATAAGCTGGTTTTTTTCCTATTAGCTCTGACAGGCAACCTGATGTACGAGATCGCAGCATTAGTGCTATGCTGGTTTGGCGTTTAAACTGCAATGAAAGAGAAGGGGCAAATAATGTATCAATACCAGAAATAACTGATGTGGCAGCCTTGTTCTGTAAGCCTTTTTTGATCACTGCTCTTATCTGTGCAACAGTAACCACTGGTGTAAAGACTGCAAGGAGTGGAAAACTTGGATGCTCTGTTAGGTCATTTCACATTCTGTGTTTGCAACTGAATTTAATTTTGCAGCTCAATATAAATTTGAGGGTTTATTTATGCCAGTCCTGAGCTTCTAACGCATGAGTCCAAACCTTAGCAGTTCATTAGCAAGAACAGCAAGTTGTTCTGCTGTCACTGAGGTCTTCCAAAGAAGGACTGGAATACTAATGGTGGAAACAGGACAAATCCCTTTTTGCAGCTGAGGTGTTATTGGGTTTCCTTTCTGGCAAATTGACTCTTTGAAAAACTAGACGTTTTGCTTTTGGAATAGATAACATAGCCTGATTGTTGAAAAAAATTTTCTAAAATAAAACTCCTGCTGTTTGGTTTGTTCTTCCCTGCAGTTTGGAAGGTGTAATGGAGAACCTGCTGACCTAAACCATGCTGGCTCTTCCCTTTTGCTGTCTCATGAGCTTGTACAGAGGCTGAATTGCTTCTTTGATACTCTTGACTTTTCTCTGGGTGTACCTACTTTGCTAAGGTCATTGAAGAAGTGATAATTCCACAGCACTGCAGTCTGAGTTGATATACAACACACTCATTCATTTTTGCCACCTTTTATCCGCTGCCAAGGTGTGCAAGGTGAACAAATAAACCTTTGCATTCTAATTATAGGGAATGAGTTAAAACAGTAAGTTATCAAATAGGGAATGAGAACAGAGGAAGTGTCCTGACTTGCTGGTGTAGATTTTTAGCATAATAAGAAATGAAAAATAGATGACTGACTCTTTTATTATGGCTATTGTGGTAGAAATGGACATTCTAGACTTTGGCAAGGTCGGTACTGTCTAGAAGAAGGAAAGTAAAAGGGTAAAGAAGTTGAGAGAAATTAACAAGTGGGCTGTTATAGATGGAATTAATAAGGGACCTGTGTCAATGATAAGATATGTGATTTGGCTGGCACAGTGGGCCTTCTGCAAAGAATCCTTCTGGTTTCTTACGGGCTTTCGAGATTTCCGTTGATTACCATTAGAATTTTCACTTTACATCAGTTGGAAACATGGAGGAGTTTTTATGCTCATAGAAAGCTTTTTCAGAAAAAAAAAATTAATAATAAAAAAGAGTTCTACACATGAATTCAGAATTATTTTCACTTCTCTCATTTCCAAAGTTTCAGTACTTTCCAATCGAAGTGGCCACATAAGTCAGATGAGTGCTTCTGCCTTTGGGTTTGGCCCTGAAAAATGTTGAGCACCATTAATTTCAATTGACTCCAAGTGGGAGCAGAGACAACACAGGATCTTGCAATTTCTGGTCTTTAATTGGAAATGAATGCAGTGCTTCTGATGTTGAGTGCTCGGGGGTACATTTCTTTTTATAGAGTCGATAATTACTTGATTCATTAAAAGTAGTGCTGTATTGCTGTAAGTGCAAGTTAAGTCTTCATTTCAAACATGTTGCTGAACTTCCCAAAAGCATACTGTTTAATGCCACTCAACTCATGTATCATTTAACCTAATGATCGAATGGTTTCACAGGAGCTTCCCGCCCTTCTATAAACTATTTGGCTAAGCAGCTCTAATACTACTATACGCATACTTGATAGACTGTAAAACAGCAATTCTTTTTTATGTAATTTCTTCATAGAGTGAAAATCTTAGTGACTGATTTATTTGGAAGACGATGGTGAAAGGCCATCTTCCTTCTCTTCTTGTAGGTTTTTTTATAAATTTGAAACACTACTCCCCTCTAGCTGCTGTTCTGTCTCTGTTTCCTTGTTCTTGCAAGAAAGGGTCCTGCAGGACTTCTCATTTACTTCTTACTTTGATATTAGGTCCTTCCCCCCACAGCACTATCTTGCCACCTACTGTGTCTGCTCTTATTTCAGTTATGCAGCTTTCAGTGTTAAACTGACATAACTCCCAACTGGTTCATATTTGACCAAGTGGTCTGTATGTATAGCAACAGGTGTGTTACTTGGTGTACTGATAATTCTGTACTGTAACCCTCTAACAAAACTTACAGAAGCATCACAGCATAGAAATTATCTCATAGTCTGAAATACACCATTGCATTGGCATGTGCTTGGTTGAGTACCTTTAAAGCCATTCTTGCAGCGATGAGAAGCCAGGAACAATCCTAGGTTTTGTAGAAATGAGTGTGTTAGGTTAACTCATGCAGCATGCAGAGCTCCCAGTTGGAACTGGTGATCTGAATTTCCATGCCCCTTGAGTGATTGTTGTCGGAGCAGTGCCAATGTGATCTGCAACAGTAAAAACTGGTCATGCAAACAGTGTTCAGCAGAAAATAGCTGTGGTAGTGCAGGTAGTCTCGTGCATTTAGATCATTTCTACCCTGCTGCACAAGTGTTTTTTACCATCTCTTATATTGTTCTAAGTGAAAGGCAGAACTTTCATTTGAGCTCAGCCATTGGATCAGTTCATGCAGTTGGTCTGATTTATCTTCTGCTAGCTCAGCTGCGTACTAACCTTTCAATCGCAAACAAAATGTGCTTAGAGTAAGTCTAAAGATTACTCCATAAAAGAATAATATGTGGTTGTAAATTTACAGCAGGTGAAGAAAGTTACGCCTTAGTAATGCTGTGGAAGTGATAGAGCAGTAAGTAGTGTGAATCAAAACTCATAGGTTAGTTTTTGGATTTCTCTGCTACTAAAAATTGTCCAAAGACGTATTGAAGGCTGCACACAATAATTAGCATGGGAGTCCGTTCATCACATGGTCATTAGATTGAATATGATTCATATTGCTGCTATCCCCAAGTGCTGTAGTTGCCTGGTGAGTTTAAAAATACTGAGCAAATTACTCTTTTGATTTGCTGTCTTGGTGAAGGATTTGAGATATTGATACGTACATTTTAAGCACCATCTAAATATGTATCATGTTTCCCTCTCACACATTTGATCTCCCTGGACTAATGACAGTGCAGTATGCTGCATGCTCCCTTTCTCGTGCTGACGTTTAACTGGGGGTTTGTGAAGACCTCTCTCTCTTCTGTACTTCCTTAAAGTGTTTCCAGATGACTTTGCTGTTACGTAGCACCATAGCCTCGTGGTATGACTTTATCCCAGAGGTCAGAGGAGTAAGCTTGACTGATAAGCCTTTTAAGCTTGAAAGCACTTTCCTCCCTGCTGGGAAGCCACATGATTACATTTGCGAGGAAGATTGTTTGGCCTTGAGGAGTTGTGTGTTTGAGAATCATGGCGTTGGAGTTCACTATTGGACCGGGCATGCCTCCTCCCATGCAAGCCCTATGGAGGTGTGTGTGACCAGGTAATAATACTCACTCTGCTGTGGACAAGGAGAGCAGTACCAGTGTCTGCTTACGCTCAGTGTGCTGGCTTTGATCTGATGAGTGGAAAGGAAAGTGGGATCAGTGGAGCAAGGGAGCCCAGCTCTTTTTCAGCCATGCCCTGGAAGAGCCAACATTTTTAATGCTGCTGCAGCCCTAAGCTTCCCCACGCTGAAGGTTTGGTTTGTAGAGGCAGGCACAGTGCCTCTCAACAGCACGTAACCCTGTCATACTGACCTGCATGGTTACGTTAAACTCAAAACTACATGCTTTTGTCAGTTCTGTCTGCACAAAGAATTTGCAGGAAGGGCTTCTTCTGCTTTTGGTACGAGGCATTGGATTGTGGAGGCATGCGACCTCGGTGAGGCCATGGCCTGCCTAGTTCTCCTGCAAGGTTATTGGGCACGGTGGTGTTGGGATGATGGCTGCACTAGATAATCGTAGTGGTCTTTTCCAATGTTGATGACTTTATGATTCTATGATTTTCCCCCGGGAGAACAGGTTTTCTTCACCAGTGGAGGCACATGTTGCAACTACACCCAGCATGAGTCAGAGCTCCTGTTCTTGCATCCTTATCAAAAGATTCCTTGTGTTGACCTCTACTGCTCAGGAACACACAAAGTTAAACAGGGGTGGCCCAGCCATTTTAGTGCTTCAGTGGCAGTCGGTGCTGCTGGTCAGAAAAACAACGCATGAAGCCATAGTCAGATTAATTTTATTTACCTGAAGTAGGTAAGTGTTTGCTCAACTGCCCAGAGCCTGTAAGAACAGGAATGGGATGCAGAAAACATTCTCCTCATAGCAGGAGTGCTTCACATGGTTGTGAAGGAGGAGAGGAGCTGCACTGCCTTCTGCAAAGGGCCTGGCCTTAAAGGCAGGGATTTTTAAACTCTTCCCAGCACAGCGTACCGTGTTCTAATATTTTCCCTCCTCCTCTGCTGTCAGACTTCAGCTGATTTTGTTTGTTTTTGGAGAACAGAGAGATTTTGGTGTCTCTTTCACTTCTGTTTGAATTTGTTCTCTCACCTTGCTCACTTCCAACTTAGAATTTGCAAAGGTATTTGTATATAGTTGCTGTGAAACACTTCTTTTGACGAGAGGTGCTTGTTCTGTGTATTTGAACTACACAGAATAAGTAATTACATAAATATGCCTTCACGACAGTCTGCAAACCATGTTTTACACTGAGGTATTTTCTTTTGATCTCTCAGTTACGGCAGATCTTGGATAAGACCCAAATTTCAGTATTCCTTTTCAAGGATGCTTTACTCAGTCCTTTCTTGTTAGGCTCCTTGTTAGGAAGTAAGGTTGGGGGCTACAGATAAGATGCTATTTGACAAAACTTGAAGTTTTGTCTTTTTTCAAAATTTTTTAGGTTTGCATGATTAAAACCAACTCCAACACTGCAAAGGCTGACCTACATCTGGTTCATCATGTTGTGTGGATTGCAAATTCATCTTCATGAATGCGACTTCTTAAGCAACTTCTTATTTTATTCCACCATTATGGCTTAGTGTGTGAACTTTATTCATTGAAGGGCTAAAGACTTTGCAGAGTCTGTATAAATCCCATTAAAAAGAAAACAAAAATTAGAACATAATTACTGGCCTTACTGGTCAGGGAAAAAAACCTCGAATATAAAAACTGCATTGGTTTTCCTAGATCAGCAGCCAGAACAGTTGCTTAGTTTATATAGAAGGCAGATTGGATGTAAAAAGATGGCAAGGAAGCAATGTATATGGAGAAACGTACCACCTCTCCCGTAAATGTTTTTCAGATATTTCTGAATTGTATGCTATCAGCCTTTCCAAGTGAGATGCTGGTAAGAAAGACACCCAATTCATAACAATTACTTTTTACCTGCCCCTGAGATTTTCTTCCATCTGCCTACACTTCTGCCAGTACTCCTGATTCTTTCTATTTTGGTAACTCCTCTGCATTTTCTTTTAGAAAAGTTCATTGTGGGACAAAAAGAGAAATCAGAAGCTCTTGGCTGGTACCATAAAGGAAAATCTTATTGATTCATCATATTCTCCTTCCTTCTCTTGTGATGCTATGGAAGTTTATATGTGGTAGACCATTAAAATCATCTACTCTGCTTTTATGAAGTGTGCTTGCATTTGTTGTCACTATTGGACACTGAAACTGTATTGCAAATTCTAATACTTTTTTTGGATTTTTCAAAATAAAGGCATTTTTAGCTTTCTGTTCGTGTTTTTTTTTTTCCTTTTTTTTTTTCTTTTTTTTTCTTTTTGTCTAAATGCGCGGGGGATCAAATAGATGCAGCTGAATTTGTTGGTTTTTTTTTTTTTTTTTAATTTATTACAGATTATCATCAAACAAGCAACTACTTTTCTAGTCAGTCTGGAGAAATCTGTGTGACATGTTCAGTCTGGAGAAGAAGAGGTTCAGGGTAGACCTTATCACTCTCTATAACTACCTGAAAGGAGGTTGTAGTGAGCTGGGGGTCGGCCTCTTCTCTCGTGTAGCTAGTGATAGGACCAGAGGGAATGGCCTCAAGTTGAGCCTGGGGGTATTGAGGTTGGATGTTAGGAAATATTACTTCTCTGAAAGAGTGGTCAGATGCTGGAATGGGCTGCCCCGAGTGGTGGTGGAGTCACCGACCCTGGAGGTGTTCAAGGAACATTTAGATGTTGTACTAAGAATATTTAGTGAGATTTATTGGTGATACGCAGATGGATATCTTGGAGGTCTGGATGATCTTGGAGGTCTTTTCCAATCTTGGTGATTCTGTGATTCTATGTAAAATATTCTGTGCTCATATAAAGGACTTTTTGAAATACAGTGACTTAAACTTTTCATGATGCATTTGCATCAGTGTCTTTATCTTCTTAAAAAGTGTCAGTACGTTTTCAATTTGTATCTCATGTTTTTATATGACTTGTTATGAAGTGTTTTCATTTCTTTCATTTAAACTTCACAACCTCCATTTTCTGGCTTTTGCTGTGAAGGTAGAAAATGCATGTCCTGGGAATGTCTGAATAATCACTTCATCTTGAAAAACTCTCTGGATTGTAGTCTATTTTTTGTCATTTTAGAGCTACCAACTACCTGCTTACATTTTCCCTTACAGGCTTCTGTGCTGGCTAAGTAGAAGAAATCAGCTTTTGACAGCAAGCTGCTGTTTACCAGTGATAAGGTGCTTCTTATTTCAGTGGGAGAAGGAAATCTTGCTTCCTATGCTATTGCATTCCCATGGAACTGATTTTCAGTCGAAGTAGTGGGGTAGTGAGTGCCCATGACAAGCATCTCTGTGATGTTTTATCTGCTAGCTGATCTTGCCTGTGTGAATAGACCAAGAAAGAGCTGAGCTCAGGTGGCATCATTTGAGGTGCCTCTGGTGCTGAGAGCACTGCTGTGTTCAGAACTGAAGGTCATCTTGATTAGTAGTTGCCTATTAGCATTTAAGGTAGTAATACACCCTGTGTGTGCGTGGGGATCCAGGTACCTCTTGGAAAGATGTTCCACCAGAAGTCTTTGATTGCTCTTCTCCTGTTCCTGGATGCCTGGAAAATCCCCAGTGCTCTCCTTACCCTGTGAGAAATAAGGACACATCTCTCGTTCTCTTTCCCACCCCAGCTTTTATGGATGGCTGCTTGCAGTTGCTGATGGTGAAAGTCACAGCAGATGAATAAGGCTGAAGGGAAGTCGCTCAGCTTTCCAATCCAAGGAAAGGCAAGCCGCTCTTTGAAGTTGAGCTCTGAGTGGGCATCTGCACAGGCTAACAGGGCTGCGAGTTGTTCTCCCTGGGACACATTCCCCATGCCATTAAGCTCCGCAAGGGCTGTGCGATGCTGGATCACATGCTACAGCATGCTGCTGATCAGGGCCTGCCACTCTTAGCTGCGAGTTGGCTGCCATCATAAAGCTCTCTCAGAAATCCTTTCAACTCTGTGATAGGCGTTCATTTTCTGTTACAGCATTTGTTCTGGCAGGTCAGTTACTTTGTGGAACTTTCTGGTGGGTCAGGTGTCCTAACAGAAAGAAAGCTCCTTGCTTAATTGTCCTGAGAAGCCCAGGGCATTTGGCAGAAACCCAACCTGTGGTTGTTTTCAATAACATGTTAACTTGAGTCACTTCATTCTTTGCTGGTTGCTGCTGCTCAGACAGGGAGGCTGGGAGCATCCCAGCACAAGTAAGTCAGAAGCAAATGTATGCTTAAAGTATGTGGGGATACCTGGTGACCTCCTGCATGTCTCAAACATAACGGTAAAAAAAGGTGAAGCCAGATTTGGAATTAAAGCCCGTATGTTACCTGCAAGCTGTTAATTATTCTGTGTGTGGACAGAGTATATGTAAATAGGACATGAATCTGGATGAGAACATGGGACGTGCTTTTGATGGAAGTAATAGCGTAGTGAAATTGTTTGTATGCCACACTGGATGCCCAGCTAAAGCAGCCATTCCAAATGCCTTTCTGCTAGGAAGATGCCTCCGTCTGCCCTCTCTTCAGCACGACTCTGCAGGGATGGAGCTGTGTACTCCTGCAGCAGGGCTTTTCCCACCAGAGAGAGGTTGGATTTCACAGAACACTGGATATTTTTACCTTCTGTTGCTGAAATGAGCCCAAAGCTGGAGTGGTATTTCAAGCCCTGAGTGGATCAGTGCCGATCCTGGGCCACCTGATCAACTCTTATTTAGGTCAGACCTCCTTAGGGTAACCCACAGAGAGCAGCATCTTAGGTCCTACTGCAACATAGTCCAGCTCCCTGAGCAGAGTAAGCCAACCCTCTGTAAACAGCCTAATTAAAGGGTTTTTCAGTAGGCCTGACAGCAGACAGATGATTTTTTCTTTAACGAGCAGACGGCTCTCATGCTGAATCCATGCTTTCTTCCTTCTTAGCAAGATAAAGACTACCTCCTGTTCCACACAGTTACCCTTTGCTTGCTCACAAGTATTGTAAGGACTTCAGAGGAACAAGGGGTGCTTTGCAGTGCAACCTTATCTCTAACTGCAGCTCTGCCTCTTTCCCAGCCTGAAAGCTTCGGGACCTGAGCAAGAGCAGGGTAGGCAAACACTGCTAGAAGCATCAGGCATTAACTGCAGCCTCTGTCACTGGAGTACCTACTTGCTGCACGTCGTCCTGCTTTGAAGATGATGAATTTTCAAGAGCTTGAGCCAAATTTCCCAGACCCAAGCACCAGGGAGCAATACATTTGCTGTGAACGGTGAGGGCACCCTCTTCCTGACTGGAACAGATTGAGCTGCTTATGAGTACAGAGCTTCTATTGTTCTGCCCTGAGAGATTGTGCTGAAGCTTTGAAGCAGCGTTTGCATGTAGGTGTCAGTTTTCTAAGCAGTTTTTTTTTTTTTTTTTTTTTTTTAATTCCCTTTACTTGTTTGGGGTTTTTTTGTTACTTTTTTTTTAAAAAAAAGAACAAACCTTGCTACCTTCCCCTCCCAGCCTTTTCTTCGCAGTGACTGACTTGGTAACTGTTTATTTTATGATGTGTTGTTTAGGCTTCCCTGTTTTTCTTCAGCCTGGCTATTTAACAACTTCTTTATTGGATGGAAATCAGGGTATACCCAGTGACTTAGTGCAGGAACTTCACCATTATGGTTGAAGGTGATTTGTAATGTTACATTATGCAGTATATAGTATGGGATATATGATAAACCATTGTGCTCGTCCAGTACTTGTGTTTTTAAAGTCCTTTTTGAAATCAAAATGTTAATAAAATGGCTGCAGTATAATATGCATGCTGGAGTCAAAGAACTTGCGGTCCACTGTACTGCCAGTGTGCCTCAGCCATGCAGTGCAACTCCTGGCCTGCTGGAACCCACCTCCTATCTACAGGGTCAAAGTCTGAGTCTAATGAAGAGGTGTCATCACGCCTTTGCATAAATCTCAGTCAAGTGCTAGAGGAAGCAAACAAAAAAAAATTAATCTAGATGCTCAAGTCAGATTTAAGTCAGTTTAATTGTGCTGTAAAGTTTCAGGGCTGGTGCAATTAATCTAGGAAAACCAATAATCTCGTTCTTGTGGGACTTTCCCAGTCTGCTGACCTGCACCTGACTCATGTTGTATGGAGAACAGAAATCTAGGAATGTTTGAAAACATCCAGATTAAACCAGTGTTTGAGAAGGGCTGAGATGGCAATTATCTTCTTCTTCACCATGTCATAATTTCTTGTTATCTCTTCTGAATTCTAAGATCCTACCCAAAGTGGCATAGAGAAACATCTGATTACAGACAAAGACCAATAAAATAAGTTGCTGGGGGGTAAGTGTAGAAAAGAGCCCAGCAGATCATGCATTGCTACTCTTATCCCTTTCAGAAGGGCCACAGGGATGGTTAGGGGGCTGGAGCACCTCCCCTATGAAGACAGGCTGAGGCAACTGGGCTTGTTCAGCCTGGAGAAAAGAAGGCTGCGGGGTGACCTCATTGCAGCCTTTCAGTACCTAAAGGGAGCCTACAAACAGGAGGGGAATCAACTCTTTGAAAGGGCTGATAACTGCAGGACAAGGGGAAATGGTTTTAAGTTGAGGGAGGGAAGATTTAGGTTGGATGTCAGGGGGAAGTTCTTCACAGAGAGAGTGGTGAGGTGCTGGAACAGGCTGCCCAGGGAGGTTGTGGATGCCCCATCCTTGGAGGTGTTCAAGGCCAGGTTGGATGGGGCCCTGGGCAGCTTGGTTTAATATTAAATAGGGAGGTTGGTGGCCCTGCATGTGTTGGGGACGTTGGAGATTCATGATCCTTAGGTCCCTTCCAAGCCATTCCATGATTCTATGACAAGGCAGATCTAGAGTGAGTTAGAGCAAGTGTGGAAGGAGCGACCTTTCTTTCTCCAGAGAGCCTGTGGGATGGCTGAGCATTGCAGGAGCCTCTGAGCAGCAAATGACATGATGCAGGTATCAAAGGACATGATGTTGCTGTTCTCAAACACCAGGAAGAAAGGTTTAGACACTTAAAAAGAAAAAAGTCATTCTCATTGTGTCTCTTTTCAAACATTTTTGGGTTGCATATCAATCAGGAGTTTTAATCTTCCGTATGAAACTCTAGACTCTGGGATT